CCACACAAATGACCCGGGTTCTAACCTCAGTTAGAACCAAATTTTTAACTAGTTATTGTATTTGCATTGTTCTCAATTTTTTTTTCATGGGCATAATTATGATTTTTCATTCGAAACCAACGACGCCGACATCAATGCCTTAAATTCGAAGAAAGGAGCTTTTTAACGTTATTACATTTTATATCCACGCATCTACAGGTATACATGACAAATGGGCGAAGCGCTATGAATCGTGCTTGCCGTAACCCAGCGTTGACATTACCTTCTCACGCATGTAAATGAGTGATAACGTATGTACCCAGTATGCACGCTGTTTTTGGCGTTGAGCCGCCGCTTCCCGCGCCTCCAATTTGTCGGCGCTGCCGCTGCTTCCGGAACTCTGGACTTGCTTGTTTTCTACATCAGTGTTGCCTTTGGCGAAGGTGTGTGCGTTCATTCAAATCTAGTTCAAAAAGATATTGTGTGTCAATTGTAGCTAACATTGCAAAGACCCAGACATAGAATTGAACGGGCACGGCACAACGCGGACCAAGGAAAAGAGCCCTTTGTACTAAAAATAACATTAAGCGAGATGGGAAAATAGGCGAGTCGGTGCGCATCACTCCGGGTGCAGATTCATCGTGGCTAATAGCGCAATGACTCCGACATAGAACTGAAGAGGATATGGCACATCGCAGACAGAGGAAAAGGGCCCTCTATACTAGAAGCAACATTACCTTAAGCAAAATGGGAAATCGGGCGAGTAGCTGCAGATTAATCGTGGCTAACAGTGCAAAAACCCAGACTTAGAATTCAACGGGACACGGCACAGCGTGGACCAATGAAAAGAGCTCTTTGTACTAAATATAACATTCACCAAAATGATGAATTGAGCGAATAGGTGCAGATTCACCGTGTCTAACAACGCGAAGACCCAGGCATAAAATTGAAGGGGGCACGTCACAGCACAGACCTATGAAAAGAGCCCTTTGTACTAAAAACAACATTAAGCAAGATGGAAAATTGGACGAGTAGGTGCAGATTCATCGCTGCTAACAGCGCGAAGACCTAGACAAAGAATACAAGTGAACTGCACTTATTCTTCATCGTCATCAGTGTCAGCGCGCGTCTGCGGTGCCTTTCCTGCGCGAGAGCGCACGCTTTTTGTTTTCATACATCTCCTTCTTCATCATCGTCACCGTGAGCACACTTATTTTTAGTCATCATCAATCTCATCGTCATCGTTAGTGAGGACAAGCCCAGAACCCAAGAGGCTCCGCTTTGAACATTTTACGTGACGATGGATTGCTAAAAGGCGCCTGCAGAGAAGTATGCGATGTCGTTCATAGGTGTGCAACCCATATACCACACTCACTGTTTTTTTTTATTTCATTGGTAGAAAACTTCGGCATATGATTGTATTAGTATAAAGTTGCAGCTGTGATTAACGTTTTGCAGTCTCCATCCTAATTTAAGTCCACCAAGAACGTCGTTAGTTCGCTCACTTCTTCGTTGTTTGTTCTGAAATGACATCAGCGGTTTACTTTCATCTCCTTTCGGCCTGAACACAGGTTGTTGTAGAACGATCAATGGAGCATATTTTTTTGCATTTAAATTGCACAAGCTATTGGTTAGCATGATTTCCTTCCAAAAATGGCCAAAACCACCAACTTCGTTGTTGTTTTTAAATGCGAAGCATTTCTTAGCGAACTTCGGCGGCTTTGAGCGTATCTATCTACCTAGCCGCATAGGACCTTTAGCTCTCCTAACCGTTTGGATAATGTTATCAATACCAAACTTGGTGTGGTATAACATGACTGTATGAAGAACATATATGTCTATTCATAACATGAAAATCGTGACATGTATGTCATGAATGTCATAGTTTACATTGCAGGGTCCTGCGGGTCTTGTGGTGGTTTAGTTCACATGGCATGTTGCAAAACTGGTATGGTATGACATGATTTCATGCCGAACACGAGCGACCGACCCTTACATGAAAATCATGACATGCGTGTCATGTAACATCATGACTTCATGTCACGCTTATGATGCGCTCGCGGCCATTTCGCTAGGATCTCATATACCAAATTTGGTATTACGGTACGTGAATGGATGACGAAGGCATGTGACTGATGCAAACTTGATAATCATGAGATGCGTGTCGTGTAACAACATCACTACATGCCATGCTCATGATGCGCTGGCGGCCATTTCGCTAGCTTCACATGTACGGAATTTGGTAATAAGTGACGTGAACGCACGACATAGGCAGATGGCACATCCAAACGTGATAATCACGACATGCGTGTCATGTAACAACATGACTACATGCTACACTCATGCCCGTGGTCGTTTCGCTAGCTTCACATAGGCCAAATTGGGCATTACGTGACGTCAATGGATGACGAAGGTATGTGACTGGTGCAAGCATGATAATCATGACATGCGTGTCATGTGACACTTCGACGTGACATGGCGCGCGGGCGCGCCGGCGTTCGTTTCATCGCGTCATGCCGGCGTGGCCACGTCAGGCGCCGGTCCTGTCATATACTCGCAGGCGCGCGCCCCGCTGCGTTGCTTTGCTGCATCCATGTTTCAGCGTGTCCAGCGTCTCTCCGTCACGAAAAGAGGCTGACGCAGTGCAGTCTGAGTAATGCAGCATGTCGCATTTCGCGCCGGTTGCCATCGGGCCACACCGATGGACGCTGGTCGTGCCGGTCACGCCTGGCGTGAGACTATAGAGCTCTCGCGTTTCGCTATCGTATATCGTGGTTGTGCCCAGCGTGCGCGCGCGTCAACGTCACGTGGGAGTCTATTGGGTCCTTCATGCACTCGCAGTCGTTTCGCTAGCTCCACTTATACCAAATTTGTTGTTACGAGACGTCAATGGATGTCGCAAGTATATGACTGGTGCAAACATGATAATCCTGACACGCGTGCCATGTAAGAACATGACAACATACCACGTTCATAGCGTGATCGTGGCCGTTTCGATAGCTTCAAATATACTAAATTTGGCATCTCGTGACGCGAATAGATGACAAAGGTAAACGACACATCTTAACAATAATAATGACACGGTAGTTGTTTACGGCATGACTTACTTCCACCTCGTAACGTTTTGGTGATTTTAACGAGGCATGTCAACCTTCCTCATTTGTGCTTCGCATATCATCGACTCACACTGTGCGAGGGATCTGCCAATTTTTTCCTCAATATATACGGTTGCAGAGGAACTTATGGAATGTTGATTCAACATGCTAATTTTGCAGCCCATAGCGATGCCTACTACAATAATAAAAAGCGGCAACGGAGCTTTGCTCTCACACTCGGCCAGCACGAGAAAGAAGGACGAAGCTAGAGTAAGAACGGCCCCTATCTCAGCTGAAGTACCTGAAGTTAGTATGGGTCCCAGGTCACTGTGGGTTAACATTAAATGAAATGGTGCACGCGTTAGGCCGCTCATCGCTATATTTCCCAATAGTTCAGGTTCTCCCGGTAGTAGAATACTTCACCGCAATAAAGTTTAGAAAATTAGCCATTTACACAGGTAGGATGGAAGCAATAACCACGTGGACAAAATATAATCACTTAAAATATCCATGGAAATCCAAGTGGAGCCATTCTCGGCAATCAGAAGTGACGATCACCAGATTTCGATGTCGTGTCTCCCCATTAAACTTTTACTGGTACAGGGCTGGTCTGACGACATCACCCCTCTGCCAGTTCTGCGGAGAACTGGAAAATATTGCACATTACTTTTCGTCATGTTCAAGATAGTCTCGTATGAGAACTCGACGTTTAATTACTCCTTTTGCAAGAATAGGCTTGACCTTATCGGAGCAAAAGGCTTCAGGCTTGGGATACTGCCACAGAGATGCCCTTGATGTTGTGTGTAATTTCATTATAACTACTGAACGGGTACAATTTTAATCTCGTATTAAAAATTCTTTGTCATTTCATTAAGTTAAAATCCAAGTTTTCAAAATTCTTCTCATCAGGTTAATACGTCAGCCTGGAATACAGGCTCAAAAACGCATTCCTTGTATTAAATTGAATATTTTACGTATTATTGCCATTTTATTTCTTTATTTTTTGGTTTTTAATTTCATATCTCACCTAAAATAACACTTAACAGTCTCAACGTTGCGTTTTTGGCCAATCCACCAAAGTAACAGGGTAGCCAGCCGGTCTGACAACTGGCTAACCTCCCTGTCCTTCCTCATTTATTCCTCCTCCTCCTCCATCAAAGTAGCTGCGTGCCATTTATCTAGGGAAACAAACAAACAACCAGCGCGCAGTAAGGGTGCTTTATATTATATAAGCTTCGTCATTCTAAAGCTGCACTATATTTTATAAAAACCACTCGATTCTTGGGGGATCCCCCACAAGTGGGTATGTGCCACCAAAAATAGGTGAACAAGAATAAGCCGGCCTGCAGTAAGGGTTCTCTCTCTTGTATCTGTTTCTTCACCCGCTATCTTCGAAGCGAAATCCTTGTGCGCACGCACACATCCTCCATCACTTGTACCAGCGTAGGATATCCGCCTTCAAAGCATCGTACGGAGCAGCACACTAAGTCTACTTTCAAGATCTCTCCGTGCTTAGCCGCTGCATTTGCTTTAATGTACTCCACATGTGCGAGACTTCTCGCCACCAAGGCCCGTTTTCAGATCAGGGAACAGCCAAACGTATAGCTTCGAACAAAATGCAGTGATTACGACGCTCGAATGACTACCAGATCTGTATTCTTGGCGGAGAACGTCTCCTCAATAAGGATGGTTTGTTCGCGGCAATGCGAGCGAATGCAACGTATAGGCTGCGGTGAGTTCAGAGGTAAGTTATCTGCCGCCGTTTTCAGCAATTGTACGATGCGGCAGGTGTGTTAGCGCAAGAATCGTACTTCGAAGGTGATTAGGTAAGCATTACCTAAGTCGTAACATTAGCACATTGAAAGAACATTCAGGAAAGTTTTTCATTGCCGCTCGTGTGTCCACCTCTCTGTAATGACAGCGTACCTTCCGATTGTATTCTGGTCTTGTGGAGAGGAGGACGAGGCTTGAGGTAAATCCCTGTGAGAAAGCCAGTAAGGTCACTTTCGATGCACCCGTGGTGTTTAGGACGAGATCAACTGTTGCGGCGAGGTCGTACCGTCCAATCTCGTTAAAGCTGCAAATAATAAAATGCGTGAAAGGCATCTTTCCTTAGCCCTTGGTTGAAGCAATAAAAGCGATAGCAAGGTTGAACGTTATGCTTTACTTCCTATCATGAGATCTTAGCAATACGCCGAGGTGACACACTCCGAGCTGATTGAGTCGAATGAGGTAAGTTCGGGCCCAGTTTGCGGTGTCTTGTCATCTTGTTACGGTGTGGCTTTATTAGCGTAATTATACAGAGCTAATGAGGTTTGAAAATGCTCAATATGGCTTTGTAAGGCTTGTCTTTTTTTTTGTTTCGTCAACACTTCAACACACCGCCAGGTGGTGATCTCATCCATCTATATAATGAGTAGCTGTGCGCCACCTTCCGGCTTCGCCTAGCTTATAAATTAGCTTATAGCTTTAACTCCGCGTTCGCTGCTAACGCGGGCTCCGCGAATTATCGCGACGGGCTACAGGGAAGACACGGCGCGCGCTCTGTTTCAGGCAGTGGTGTTTGAAACTCCAACATGCCACGAGTGAGTGACCATCACCCAAGTTCGATTAGCCCCGCTGTTTTGGCTGTCACATCGCTCTTACAGCGAAAGCTGTTTTGAGATCACAACTCGGGTCTCACGCAGCGCCGCAGATGTCTGCCGCCGCCGTTGCCACCGCCGCTGTCCATAACCACATCGCGCGAAATTAGAAAAAAAAAACAATGACGCAGCGGGTCTCGAACCCGGGTCCACTAGGTGCTAACCCAGTATTCTACAACCGAGCCACGCTGGTGCTTATAGACTTCATGACAAACTTGCTTTAGGCAGGCTTGACGTCGGGAAGGCAATCGCGTTACTACGCCTTATAAAGCGTTTAAACAGCAAAAAAAAGCAAACAGTCCTCGCACAATGCGATTAGCATTACAAGTGAGTCGTCAAATTCTCGAACTCAATACAAAAACTTGTTCTTAATGCCCTATTAACTGTGGCGCATACCTACTTTAGGCATTCCTCATCGTCGTCAGCCACTGCATCAACAATGGGCACAAAATCCCTCGCAATAGTTTAGCGTACACGACGCTTCTAAGAATGACAAAAAATAACTTAGAAAATGCTGGCCTACTACCCTAAAATTTTTATTATTAATGACGTATAGTGGTGATCAAGAACTGAGCTGGCAGCAGTTACCCAATTAGTGCTTAGAAAAGGCTCTGAAAGGCCGCTGTTCTAGCTTTCGCAGTGTCTGTGCTGCGCCTTCTTCGCAGGCCTGAGCAAGTTTTTTTTTTTTCTGTTTCCGCTCACAGCGTTAACTAGTACAGCTACCACAAGCATCTATGACAACTAGAGTTTGTTCAATCACTAATGATGGACGATAGTCTTAGGGATGGAGATGTATGACTAAGCGTCCACGTGGATGCATCCACGTTAATCAAGCATCAAAGCACATTGCGTAAGCTATCTTATATACGAATGTAGAGTGAAAGTTCAACTACATCTGTATGAAGAAGTTTTACTTTCATGTTTTACCGATTCCTATAATGAAGGGGTCAACCATGTTTTGTTTTTGTTTTTTTAAATGCGGAGCATCTCTTGCTCCCAGGTATGTCATGCGTCGGCGTCCACATTCACACTACGTGTGCGCGACTCTCCTCCTTCCCTTTCTTCAACGGCTGTGCGTTACTCTCTACACTTCTCTCCTATCACCTGCTCGCGCTTTCCCCCTTCTCCCCCAAGTGCCTCGGCTGTGGTGTTCTCGCCTGAGTGGCAGTTACTGCGTGACTAGCCCCAGTTTTCACCCTCCAATTTAATTCAGGAATCTCTTCTCCGTTGCGCATGCGCATCCACTCCCTCTTTTTGATCTCGTACTCTTTGTCTCTCTTGCCTTGCAACGCCGACGCAGGGAGTGTGTGCCATAACCCAGGTTCATGGCATATTTTAGCAGCAAAATATCAGAGAGCAAAGAAACACACAACCACAAGGATTAGCCGCTTGTCCTTGTCGTTGAGTGCCTTAAGTCTGTGTTTGTAATAACTCGCTGCCAAAGCATTTCATGCACTGACTAGGCCAACAATCAGCCTTGATTGATGATTGATATGTGTGGTTTAACGTCCCAAAACCACCATATGATTATGAGAGACGCCGTAGTGGAGGGCTCCGGAAATTTCGACCACCTGGGGTTCTTTACCGTGCGCCCAAATCTGAGCACACGGGCCTACAACATTTCCGCCTCCATCGGAAATGCAGCCGCCGCAGCCGGGATTTGATCCCGCGACCTGCGGGTCAGTAGCCGAGTACCTTAGCCACTAGACCACCGCGGCGGGGCAACAATCAGCCTTCATACAACCTACGCGCGCTCCCGGCCTTCTAGGCATTCTTCCTCACGGCGTCTCGCAAAACCCACAATGGCAGCGTCTGTGAGCGAGTTTCTTGAATGATAAAACCGACTGCTCGCGCTGAACAAGCGTTAATGGCCACCCCGTTCACACTCGGCTTTGACTACCAAGGCAGTGCCGTTGGGAGATTTCTTCTCTGCGTTGTTGCACAATAAAATTTCGCAGCGTGTGCGTTAACAAGAGAAATCGGGAGACCTTGAGCTCCGTCTTTCATAGTTGAACGTGATAGCGATATTCTTTCTCTAGTGCGTACTGAATTCAAAATGGCTTGTGTCAGTGAAGCTTTCGCTTATGGCTGCATTATAGATAGCATGCTTTAAACCACGGGCAATTGTGCGCGTGAGCTCTTATCGAGCTTGTGATGCACCCTGTACGTGGGCTTATGGGGAAAGGCGCAGTAACGTGCGTGCATGTGGCAGTGGGTGGCCCGCTTTAGACCATGAAGTCACTTCTAATCACTTGCTGGGACGCCCGATGGCAATGTACGCTTGTACCACGTATTATTACAGCGATATTACAAGTATTGTGAAGCATGTATATAAGACGCATGCGGTTGTAAAGTATGCAAGTTACCTTTACTGTATTTGCAAGCAAAGGAAAATACTCCCACTGCATTTGCAAGCAGACACGTGGCTCTGTGGTAGAACACTGGCTTGTCACGCAAGTGACCAGGTTTTATTTTATTGGCGTCATTCTCGATTTTTCGTTCACGCATAAGATGGTCATTTTTCGCTCACAACCAATGACGCCGACGCCTAAGACCGGAATGTCTGTGAACCGAGCTCTTTAACGCCATTGGGTTAAACATTAGGCCATCTCACACAAGGGGACCATGGAGTGATGTGGAGCACTGCGGAACTTTTGAACACAACGTTCACGAGTTGCGTGGTAACGAACCAACTTAAACGTAATAACACGCAAGGGCCACTGCAAAGGCGGCACCGCAAACCAGTAAACCCTGCAATTAAAAACTGCGTTAGAAAATCCCCGCGGTGCTCTGCATCACCCCATGGTCCCCTTTGGGGAGATGGTGTCAATTTGTTTTTATTTTGTACCTTTCATGACGACAGAACGGTGATTCACGTGACATTATTAGGGAACATACTCTCGATTGCTCCATATTCAGGAAGGATAAGTTCATGTCCCGCAAACTCATGTCCAGCTAAGCACGATCTCACCAAGTCTTGCGTGAAGTTACTGACGTCAACTACGACACCGCATCATCTGCACAGTGCGCCACTTTTATACACTGTGCGCGTTTCACGGTTGAAACCAGACTTCGCGGGACTTGCGCCAACACGCTCTACATCGCCTGGGACTCCTGCTACGGAGGAATGAAGTGAACGAAGAAGAGCTAGAGAAACTGTCAGGCGCGCGATTGTGTTGGCCAGCCATTCCCACTCTTGCCTCTGCCTTTTGGAGTGTCTTTGGGCGCCTGTGTCTTTTGGCGACTTTTGCTTGTGTCTTTTGGTGGTGCAGCCTTTTTTGGTGTCTTTTGGTAGTGCTTGATGGTGCATAAGTGTTTTGGGGTCATCTCACATTCTGAGTAATAATAGTATTATTTAGGGTTTTACGACCCAAAACCACAATATGAATTTGAGAGACATGGTAGTAGAGGGCTCCGGAGATTTCGTAACCAACTGGTGTTCTTCAACGCGCACTGACATCACTCAGACTATGGGCCTCAACCGTTTCGCCTCCCCCGAAATGCGGCCATCTGTCACAAACGAGCGCCCAAAAAAGAGCACGCAGCCGAATTCTGGTGACCAGGCGACAGAGAGACGCCTCAAGGTAAACGCTAAAGAAGAAAATAACCATCCAAATATTCCCCGGCCACGCCATCTCTTTCTCTCGGAAGCACAGTTTCGCCGACCAACCTCTTCACATCGGCCGCCGAGAAAGCCCTGGAAAGATCTAGAAGGAAAGGAGCGTGGTGATGTCGAGTTGCGTCACGAGTCGCGGGTGGTCCTCGAAACATCTCGCTTTTTCCCCAGCCTTGGCCGTGCATCGCGTCTACTAAACGAGTAGCATTTTCTGGAATATAGCGCGAAAGGTATTTAAGCGAGCAGCGGAGAAGGAAGATCAAGAGAAGAAGAAACTTTGCGCCAGGGTGCGAAGGGTGTTCCACCTTGTCGGCGAAGGTTTTGCCCTTAGTGACAAAGCAGGGGAAGAAGAAAGTTTGCGCCCGTGTGCGTAGGCAAGAGATGAAAGCTTTGCGTAAGTGTGCATAGGGTCAGTCCACCGTGTCGGCGAAGGCTTCTGTCCTCAGTGACAAAACAGGTAATGAAGAGGATTTTAACCTGAGGGGTAAAGACTCGTGCTACAAGCAGAAGAGTGTATCTACCGCCACCGAGCAAAGACGCGTTGCAACAGCTGCGCGTGGGAAGCCGACGTGTTACCGGCGAAGAAGTCTGGTGCTTGGAGAGCGGTTAACTGGAAGAGAAACTTCGGGGGCAGCGAAACGAGAACAGCACTGGACTTTGAGTGAGTGATTCTTGGAAGAGTATCATTCAGACTTTGTTCCAAGGACTTTGGACTGAATAACTTTTCGACCTCTTTAGTCTTCAAGTGTCTTGGATGTTCGATGCATGTGATTGCATTTTAGCGCGTATTGTTATTTGTGTCCATTGTTTTGAGTGTAGCTGTGTTGTACTGCGTAGTACGTTGTTTGACTGCGGACATATCGTATTAAACTATTGTCGAGTGTGCATATTTGTGTATCATTTGATCTGCTATATTTGAGAATATAATTTTGTTTTGTTTATCAACTCTCGGTGCTGACTTGTTCTTCAGGCCACAGACGGCATCCGCTGGCACGCCAAATAGGACCATTTCTGAATTGTCCACGCTTTCGTGGTGCAGTTAAGGGGGCCGATACTTCGGCCCTTAGAATTAGCCCGGCGATCGCCTCCCTACTTAACGGTACTTGTGACACCATCGCAGCCGGAATCGAACGTGGGACTTTCGGGTCTCTAGCAGAGCACCGTAGCCACCACCACGTGCTCACATTCTCTATAGGATTGCGATTTGTTACAATGCAGGACAAGTTAGGCATGTATATACACTAAATCCCAAGCATGCGGGTTACATGCGACTGTGATGTAGCCTTTACGCGGGCCTTTAATGACTTCCCGTGTTCTTTCATTGGCTCTATTCACCCTCTCCTAAGGCATGGCTATTTCCAGGTTCACCTAAACTTTAAATCACTATTTTTAAACTCGACGAATGCATAAATGTCCTACTTCATGCTCATCTCGTGACATGCTTTCATGCCGACCATGATTAGCGTCACCCAACTAAGCTGATATGGCACTGAAGTCAGGCAAACACCTATATGTGATGACTTTTGGCAACGAAGTTCCGCTAGCTTCCCGGAACTTATGTGAAACCAAGTCAAGAGTATACAAACGATGTCTCATTGACGATGGTTACTCTAGTTTGTCAAAACTCCTTGCCTCCACTGCCAGTATCGGTCGTCATCCGCACGAATATGGTGAATGTTGCGGGAGCGCGCCGCAATCTCCCTCGTGTTCATAGCCCACACATCGAAGCCATGGTCAGCCAAAATGTAGCCTGCATATGAAAAAAAAAACATGGTCATAGGAATCTGCATAACACGAAAGTATAACACACCCATGCAGAAGTAATTCTGTGTGCCCCGCCACGGTGGTCTAGTGGCTAAGGTACTCGGCTGCTGACCCGCAGGTCGCGGGATCAAATCCTGGCTGTGGCGGCTGCATTTCCGATGGAGGCGGAAATGTTGTAGGCCCGTGTACTCAGATTTGGGTGCACGTTAAAGAACCCCGGGCGGTCAAAATTTCCGGAGCCCTCCACTACGGCGTCTCTCATAATCAAATAGTGGTTTCGGGACGTTAAACCCCACAAAATCAAAAAGTAATTCTGTGTTCAGTGTACACAGATATAGGAGATTCAAAACAATTAATTTGAGCGCAAACACACGACACAAGCATGCGCACACATACCCAGGCATGAAAAACGCACAGTGTTCATTTCCGCCTGCATGATTTATTCATAGCACGTAGGCTTCGATATATACATATTGCACATGTGCGCATTAGCATCATAAAATGCCAACAGCATACACGATCAAGACACACAGTTTATTCTGTCACAGCCTAGAACCGATAAACTGGGATTCACTTGAAAACAAAGATAGCGAAAGACGCTTACACAGTGATCCCCATTTTTTTCTATGAAAAAAAGCCTCGAACAGTTCACGTGCAGTTTTTCTTGCGCTCCTGCATAGACTGTCTGTCTTAGAGAGTTCTGTGTCACAACCACACAACATTACATGCGCAACCAGGCGCGCATACTCTTTGCCTAATTTGTTAGCTTTTGGACGTGTCATTAACCTTTAACCCGTCATTAATACATCCTTCGGTTTGGTCGATGTTAGCCTTGCTGCACAATAAAGGTATAGAGAAGAGATGGAAGGTACGGAAGGTACGAAAGGGTTGCATCCCACGTCTTGAGTTCGACATCGACGAACATGGCCGGCATGTAGGCGATGGTCTATTTATACGCTCGGTAAGGCCATTGGTCTGTGGGTGATAGGCGGTAGTTTGGTGAAGGCTTTTGCGGGTGTCTCTCAGGATCGCCTGAGTTAGCTCCGCTGTAAATGCTGTGCCTTTGTCCGTAATCAAGGCTTCTGGGGTGCCATGGCACCGGACGATGTCATCAACGAGGAATTAAGCCACCTCGGCAGCGCTTCCTTTGCGCAGGGCCTTTGTTGCGGCGTAGTGGGCGAGGTAATCAGCAGCTACGATTATCCAATTGTTTTCAACACCTGACGTCGGGAACGGCTCAAGTTCATACAAATTCGCTTGAAGGGTTCTCGGGGTGTTTCGATGGGCTGCAAAAATCTCGCAGGTCTTGTCGGCGGTGTCTCGCGTCACTGACAGTCCCCGAATGACCTTGCATAACGAGTGACTAGTACAATTCTTGTACACCACTCGAGCATGTGGTAAACACCGACGTGTCCGTCCGGCCATCGGAGCATCGTGCAGGGCCTGAAGCACTTCTGGCCGTGCTGAAGGCACCACAAGAAGGTACTTGGCTCGAAGCGGCAAGAAGTTGTTTTTTAGGAGAAGGCCGTTTCGCAGAAAAAACGACGCCAGTGGCAGCTTGAATACCTTCAGAACAACGGCAGTCCTGCCCCCGAAGTATTCTATAAGGCTTTTATTTTCCGGGTCAGCTCGCTGTCGATCAGCGAAGTCACGGGCACACATCGTTCCCAGGATGTCATCATTCTGGTCGTCAGGTGGCACAGGGTCGACGGGGTGTGAGACAGACAGTCGGCGTCAGAGTGTTTTCTGATAGACTTGTAAATGACGGTAATGTCATATTGCTACATACCAGTGGCATGGAGGTGAAGATGACAAAAAAGATAGACTGGCGCGAGCTAATCTGTATCGCTGGTGCTGCTCGCTTAACCAGCTGTAAATATATCGGTGTCTACTCTTCCGAGTCAGTCTCCTTCTCGTAATATACTTGGTGGAGTGGTGTTATCAACGTCTTCACCACGGAACTCTGAAGTGGTCGCTCGCTGGCCGGCTTTCAACATGAACAGTCGAGACTCGACTACATCCTCTCTGGTCGCCACGCTTCATGCCCTGCCTGCCAATCCAGAGGAAGCCTTCGTGACACTACCGGCTCTTAAAGACTCTGGCGTGTTCTCGGGCCGCGAGAGTTCCAACGTCGACCAATGTCTACGTTTCTACGAACGAATGAGCGCCACTTACAGATGGAACACCACGCTCATGCTTGAGAACGTCATCTTTTACCCCGGGGGAACCTCTCATGTTTGGTTTGACACCCATGAGCATAACATTACCAGCTGGGACAGCTTCAAGGAAGAGACCCGCGAGCTTTCTGGAAACCCTTTTGGCCGCCCAAAATTAACTAAAATTTAGTTATCAACTCGCGCACAAACTTCCACCGAGCCCTACATAAGCTACATTCGGAATGTCTTCGCACTGTGCCGCAAGGGCGATGAGAACATGTGCGAGCCTGAAAAAGTTGCGCATATACTCAAACGGTATTGCTGACTATGCGTTTAACATGTTCGTATTAGACAACGTGTCATCTGTTAATGTCGTTATTCAAGAATGCCGTCGGCTCCGACAGGCTAAAAGCAGGTGCATCTCCCATCAGTTACAGCGCCAACTGAATACCGTCGCGACGTCCTCGTGTCTCGGCACATATCGTCCACCAGACACCTGGGAAAACTTGACGCGGCTCGCCAGGCGTGAACTTCCAGCCGTTACAGCTACGGTAGCACTAGCGTCCCCTCACGCCTCTCCTTCAATCACGTTACCCCTCATTCAAGCAGTCGTCCGGCAGGGAATAGCCAGTTTGGTAATTTGCTCTATTTCACCCGCTCCCCGTTCGAACTTCCAGCCCCAATACACGCCTGCTCATCCATTCTTGACTGTCTCACCCTCAACGTTCCGCACCCCCGCAGGGGCGCCTGCGCAAGTAGGCGTTTGGTGTGTAGCGACACCACGGACCCGAGCTAACGGGGGAGTTTTGACCCCCTCCCACACCTAGCCGTGCGTGGCTTTGCCATGTCCGGGGAAAAGGGGATCCTGGGGGTTGAGCCAATGCTGGGTGATTGGACCTTTAAGGCCCCCCGGCAGAGGCAACACACCCCTTTGGCCCCGGCTTCACGTAGACGGCACCCCTGGGCTGACCCACCCAGGGGAAATCGGCAGTCGCCTTTTCCTATCTCTCTCTTCCTACATCTTAGTCTTTTCTCATTTTTAAATCGGTCCTGTCTTCTTCTCTCTTCCATTTACTTCCGATTTTTCCTGGCGGCAAGGGTTAACCTTGTGTAATTACTCAACCTTGAGTATTTATATTTGGTTATAGTGGCAATGTACGGCTGGCGTCTGCAGCCTTATGCTATTAAGTGCTTCAGCGTCCCCTGGTTGGACTCCATGGTGGGTGGTCGCCATTGCTGCCGAAAAAAAAGTACACTACTATGGGAACACCTGCATTTCCCCATCTCCTAGATCGTCTTCCGCTTAAGAGGGGACGCACCGATGAAATATTAATTTTCAATCAACCCAGACAATGTTTTCCGAAATTTCATGTAGTGCACAGCGAAAAGCCAAAAAAACAAGCCAGAACCATATCTCCATTTCTCGTTGCTAAATCTCTGACTGAGCTCTTTGGCCCAGGATACAAGGTTACAAAGATGGCTAGCGGAGACCTTCTCCTTGAGCTGCCAGAAAAACACCACTATGAAAAACTTGGCAGTCTCAAAGCATTTGGTAATATCCCAGTATCTGTTTCACCTCATAGATCAATGAACACCTCACGCGGAGTTGTTTCAGAAACAGACCTTCTTGAAATGTCTGAACAGGAACTGCTTGAAGGGTGGAAAGAGCAAAATGTCACGGATGTGAAACGAATCGTCATCAGACGTGACAACAAAGAAATACCTACCAAACATATAATACTCACTTTTGCATCTAGCACACTGCCTTCATCTATAGACACAGGCTACATCAAACTCTCTGTCCGTCCCTACATTCCCAATCCAAGACGGTGTTATAAATGTCAACGATTTGGTCATGGCTCGCAGAAGTGCCGGGGTCAGGAAACTTGTGCAAGATGTGGTAGCCACGGCCACCCATCTGATAACTGTGTTACTACGCCTCACTGCGTGAATTGTGACGGGGAACACGCCGCGTATTCGCGTTCGTGTCCTAACTGGAAGAAAGAAAAAGAAATAATCACTCTTAAAGTCAAAGAAAACATTACATTCAAAGAAGCAAGACGAAGAGTGGCGCCATTTTACGGCGCAACATATGCTGATGCGGCGCGTCAGGGGGCAACGCCGCACCAGCCCTTGCCACCCCTTCGGCCCGCGCAGAGCGAGCCGTCAGCTGTGGCACCTGCCCCCAAGGCGGCTGTAGCCCAGGCTACACCGCCTACTCCCAAGCAGAGACCGGAGACTCCAGAGTCTTCGGGTCTCAAGGCCTCCCCTCACCAGGCGAGGCCCAAAATCCAAACTAACAGCTCGCACGTGCGGGCATCCAGTGCCTCCGAGGAGGCAATGGATACGTCGGCACCCTTGGTGCCGAAAGATCGGCGTGGCTCCTTGGAGCGCGCCAAGAAAACAAAAAAGCAAATAACAGGGCCTGGTGACGGCCCTGTTAAGTGAACTCAAACTCCCCGTCTAAACAGCCTCTCGCTTTTCGTACACACAGCATTATTTTACATTCACCATGAACACTCAAATTATACAATAGAACGTCAGGGGCCTTCTCAGAAACCTTGACGACATCCAAGAACTCCTACACGAACACTCACCAAAAGTGCTGTGTGTACAAGAAACACACCTTAATTCAAAACACACAAATTTTCTTCGCAAATACGTTATTTTTCGAAAGGACCGTGATGATGCCATGACATCATCCGGAGGTGTTGCCATCATAGTGAATCAAGGAATTGCATGCACACACTCACAACTCCAAACATCCCTTGAGGCAGTGGCTGTCCGAGCGGTTCTTTTTGATAAACTGATCACAATCTGCACTATTTAC